TTGCACATTCTGATCTATATTTTTAAAGATTGTTCATTTGTACATTCAGATCTATATTTTTAAAGATTGTTCATTTGTACATTCAGATCTATATTTTTAAAGATTGTATTTTTCAGTCTTATCATTTCTGTCCTATATTTTTATTTCTACATTTTATTTCTTGCTTCTCATAGAAGTGTTGTGTTGTGCACTAAACACCAAGGAAAATTCCTTGTAAGTCTAAAAACTTACTTGGCAATAAACCTTATTCTGATTCTGATTCTGATTCTAATTCAAAGGCCTTACCGGAGACCTTGTCAACATCTGGCCCCGCAGCTTCCACTCGCCCATCACATCGTCCTCGGAAATCTCAGTCTCAAAGTTTGCTTCCTCCTTCTCAACGACCTCCACACTGGACAGTGGTTTCAGGATCTCAGCCTCGCGCTCTGAAAGGGCAGCACAGGGTATTTTATAGACTTTGAGCTCGTACCTCTTTTAAACCCTCCAGTGGTTTTCATGACCTGACCTCCAAGTGTGAGTTTGGCCGTGTATCTGCGATCCTCGACTTCAATGGTGTAGTCTGCTACGTCGCTGGGCTGGCAGTTTTTGATGGTGAGCGTCATGTCCTTTCCATCTTTGTTGATCTCCACCTTATCAGAAGGCTTGACCTCTTCGTCACCTTTGAGCCACTTCCAGTTGGGCGTGTCCTTGAACAGCTCACACTTGAACGTGGCCTTGGCCTTCGGCTTCACGTGCTGGTCTCTCAGAGGCTTCACCAGCCAGTCTTTGATGATTTCTGATGAGCAATGATTCACATGGTGGTTAACATCCCGAAAACATCTTAAGTGGAAGATGAACCACATAGAGACTTTTTGATATTTTTCATGATTTGGGTCTCAAACTGGATCGGATCTGGTTGGAAACTGCCTGAAACGTTTGGGTGTAAGTCACTGAATTGAGTCATGCTTCCTTTGCTGCTTACCGATCACTTTGACGGTGGTGGTGGTCTTGACGTCCTCCTGGCCTTCCACCTCACAGGTGTAGGTGCCGGACTCCTCCTCGGTGGAGTTCTGGATGGTCAGGGCATGCTGCAGGCCGATGATGTTGATGGCTACTTTTCCCGCCTTTTTCTTTATGGGTTGGCCGTTGTGCTTCCAGACCACATCTCTCTCTTTGTTCAGCTCGCAGGTCAGGTACATTGGCTGCCCCTTCATGCATGTTGTCTCTGGTTCCAGTTCCTTCACCCACTTCACAGGCAGCTCTGAGGGTAGATAAGGGTTCGGCCGATCATTGCAATGGTCAAAAACACCACACACTGACACCTGAGAAGGTGGTCTTTTTGTAGCAGAAAACAAATAAAAACATCCTTATTTTACCTTCCACTATGAGCTTGGCCATGCAGGTGACCTCCTTGCCGGCGTTCTTGGCCACGCAGGTGTACTCCCCGGTGTCGGACAGCTGCACGTCGATGATGTTCAGCTTGCGGTCTTTTCCGTCGGAGGTGAACTTGTGTTTGGGGCTCTCCCGCAGGTTGGTGCCGTCCTTCATCCAGCTGGTGACGGCGGTGGAGGGCGACACCTCGCACTCGAAGACGGCGGCCGACCCGATGGACTCGGCCTCCTTCAGCACGATGTCCTGCAGCTTCTTGATGAACTTCAGCGGGACGGCTTTCAGCTTGAAGCCCGCGAAGGGCTCCTCCGGGGGTGATGGGCCCTTCCCGCCGGGCCTCAGGCCGCGCCCCTTACCATCACCAGGAGATGGAGTTTGTTTTGCTGCAATATTGGATACAAAAACTCATCCAGTTAGTTTCAGATATGAAGGTTAGAATCAGGAAGTGAAGTGTCAAACGTGGATCTGACAAAGATACGTTTCAAAATCATGATCATAAAAAAAAGGGGCTGCCTCGCCCCATGTAAAAAGTAGAGGCTGTGGTCAATTGTGGGGTCACGGGAAGGGACTGGGACTAAATTTAGGAATCGTGCAGTCATAAACCAGATTGTATGAAGAATTACAAAACAAAAAAAGACAGACAACATGAATAACAAAACCAAGAACACAGACAAAAGTGTGTAAGGATGGGTACTCAGAGGCCGACCTACCCGTGGTTAAGGCCTCAGCCTAACGCTAACAAAGATCCACTGATGTCAGTGTAAAGGTTTAGGCTGTGGTAAACCAATTTCTAATTTGGGATGAATGTTACTCACGTATCGTCAGCAGTCAGATGCAGAGTGGAAAGCAGAAAAGTAAAGGTTTGAAATGCAGCCGTGTTTGACATAATTAGAACTAGGGGTGCAACATTCAGTTCCTTTGATTTGGATCGAGGGGACCAACAAACCAAACAACATCTACTGAACACAGCAATGAGTACAAAGACCGAAGGTGTTCGCAATAATGGCCTTTACTGAGCCAATCCTCACCGCCAAATCCTCGGCCTCTGCCTTTGGCTGGCTCTTCTGTCGGTTTTCCATCTGAGCAAGAAACAACAGGCAGAGTTTAAGTCTCTGGGTGAGAGTGCTGCGTGGACAGAAACATTCCAGCAGATGCTCAAGATTCAAACAGACTAAAGCACAAACACCACTGATATCACACGAGAACATAAGGACACAGTTCATGACAAACAGTGAACAAGATGATGATGAAGTGGAAATATAAGACAAGAATATAATAAAACAACAGTCAAAAGATGGTAAAGACAAACAGAATGATTAATGACAGAAGAATAGACTAAACAAGACAGACGAAAAGAAGAGAACACAATAAATGGACTGACAGATGAACAGATAGTTGATGGATGGATGATTGGATGGGTAGTCGATGGATGGATGATTGGATGGGTAGTCGATGGATGGGTGATTGGATGGGTACTCGATGGATGGGTGATTGGATGGGTATTTGAATGGATAGATGATTGGATGGGTATTCGAATGGAAGGGTGATTGGATGGGTAGTCGATGGATGGATGATTGGATGGGTAGGCGATGATTGATGTTTGATGGCTTGAACCATGGTTCGTGGATGGATGGATGGTTGATTGCCAGAAGGATGACTTTTGGATGAAAAATTGATGAAGTGATTAAAAAGAGATGTGATGAGGATGAGATGGGACATTTGAGATGGGATGAGGGAGGTCCATAACCATCCGGTGCGAGGGTTCTCTGGCATCCAGCTCACCTCGTCTGGCACCAGGCATGCCAGGAGTCTCCAGCATCCCCTCTTCTGGTTCACCTTCCCAATCCTCAGAGGGAACCAGCTCCCAGCCCCAGGCCTCTTCCTCCGCTTCCTGTTCTTCCTCCTCTTTAGCCACTTCTTCTGCCACCTCCTCCTCTGGTTGCGTCGTCACCCTTTCTAACTGTAAGGCTCCAGGGGAGACCTCTTTCATGACCGGGATCTTCTCCTTGCCAGGCTGTTCTGGTTCCTCTGGTGAAGGCTTGGTGGGGACCTTTTTAAGCTTAACTGCCTCAATGGAGTTTCTGGGGGAAACTGCTTTGGGGGTCGATTTGACTTTGCCAGGACTTGGCTTCTTTTCAGGAGGGACTTGCTCTGGTTCTTTTGGCTTTGGTGTGTCCACCTTCGGTGATGGGCTCTTCTTGGGCCCTACCATTTTTAGCTGCTCAACAGGTTTGACAGGCTTCTCTTCCGGCTTTTGCTCCCCGGCCGTAGGTGAAGAGGTTTTTATGGGCTCAGCATCTTTTTTCTGGGGCTCTGCATCTTTTATCGGGATTATAGCTTCCTGTCCGAGAGGGCTGGGTTTTGTGGATGACTCCTCTTTATTTTCAGGTTTTTCTACTTTCTCAGCAGCTTTTGTCTTCAGGTCTTTGGTAATTTCATCTCTTGGAGACTGACTTGGCTTCTTTGTCTCTGCCTCTGGTGGTTGATCAGACTTGGTGACTTTGGTCACAGGCTTCAACATAACCTGGTCCTGCTTTTGATCCGGAGTAGGCATCATCTTTGACGTCCCTTTAAGCTTTGTGGCTTCTGTGGGCTCTTCCTCTTTAGGTACTTGATCAATGCCTTCCTTCTGCAATAGCTGGGCTTTGCTGGTATCTGGGGTTGCTGGAACAGGCTGATCTTTGTCCAGCCCGACTCCCTTTTTCAAAGGAGTCTGCCTGCTGTCCGTCTTTGCCTGGACGTCTCTGGTAGATTTGGGTGCCTCTGGTTTCTGAGCTTTATCAAAAGGTTTCAGAGTCACTGTTTCTCCTTCCTCATCTTCCTTAGAAAGTTTCTTTATCTTCTTCTTGGTTAGATCTGGATCAGGTACTTTATCTTTCAGAGATTTGGGGGCTCTTGTCCATTTGGACTTCTCCTCTTCTGCCTCCAGCTGTTTAGTTTCCTTCTCATGGCTGAGTTCAAACACTTCCTCGGATGCAGTAAAGACGTTTTTACTTTCCAGAGTCACCACCTCTTGTTTCTCTCTGTCCTGAAGTTTCTGAACCGTCAGTTCCGCTTCATAATGCTTTGTTACTTCAACCTTTTGAGTTATGATTTCCTTGTCAGGGATGTTGGGTTTAGTGGGCACCTGTTTCAGTTTGACCTGTTGGGGCTCTTGTTCTGGTTTCCCTCCTTTCTTGAATGGTTTTAGTTGAACAGATTCTTTTTGCTCATCTGCTTCTGGTAGTTTTTTAATTTTCTTCTTGTCTACACCAAGACGCCCAGGCTCTTCTCCGGTCTGTGGTTTGGGGGTTCTTGTCCAGCCTTCCTTTTCTGTTATTTGTTCAGCTTTAATTATGGTAGACTCTTCATGCCAGGCTAATTGAAGCACTTCCTCGTCTGCAGTGAAGACTTTTTCAATTTTTCCCAGAGTTATTATCTCTCGATCTTCTCTGTCATGAAGCCCACGAACCATTAGCTCGGGGTCCTGATGTCTAGTAACTTCTGCTTTGTGAGTGATGACTTGTTTCTCTGGTTCTGGAGGTTTCACTGGAACCTTCTTCAGCTTAATGACCTCTGGCTCTGGTTCCTTCTCTTTAGGCATTTTGGTGATCTTACTCTTCAGCTTAGGTGTCCCTGATGGTGATGGCTCTTGGAGAGGAATCTTACCTTTTTGCTTAAGAGATGCCACTGGGGTTGAAGGAGTAAATACATTTGTTTATCACATTCACAGACATGAAGGACACTGATTTTATCACTTAACAACACAGTGAATCATAAACAAACAAACACACAAACACAGAGATGACTGAAGATTATAAAAGCAACATTTTCCAACTCATATTTTATAGAAGAGAATCTAACATTTGCTATACCTTTTGTTGGTCCAGGAGCTGAAACTGGTTCCTTGTCTGGAAGAATTTGAATAAGATTAATATCAGTACAGACAAAACAAGCAAAGAAAGCCAAAGAGTCAAGTAACAGACAACATGCATTTGTTTCTGTTTCCAGAAGAATTTCCACAAAACATCAGGTTGAAGTCACATTTCTTGGTTAACAAAAGGGATGTTTTTTCGTAATCACTATAAGATTAAACACCAGCAACGAGGTATTTTGCCTTCATACAAGAGAAGCTGTTAATGTTGATAGATGCAGATTGGAAACAAACTACAAGGAACACGAACATCAAACCAACAGATTCAGACGGCCAACCTAACATTTTTAAAAGATTTTAAATGTCACATGGTCGATATTTCAGACCGGGAGACAAACAACAGTTTACATCATGAGTGAAGATGTAAAGGTAAAGACGTTACCTTGAGGTGGAGAGACTTTCTTTGACACGGGGGAAGGTTCAGCCTTCACGGCTGGCGCAGACGGCTCCTTCGGCACTGGGGCAACTGGAGCTACAAGAGTGCCAACAGGATTAAATCCCAGGCCAAGATCTGACCAACAAGTCATCACTTACAGAGCACTGAACAACAGGAAGAGTTAAAGACGTCACTGTTGTTACGAACCAACAGATTTCCTGCTGACGGGACAAACAAGGATAGAAACAATGACGACAAATCAAAGAAACTACCTGTGGGAGCAGCAACTTTCATGACTGGAGAAGACCTCATTTCCTCTGGAGGAGAGACTTTGGCACACAAGATACCAAAAGACCAATGACACAAAAATATGGAAGAAGCAACACTTTAAAACAGAGAACAGTAACACAAACAGCAGACTGTCATCACCAAAGTGTGAAGGAAGAACTACCTGCGGGAGCAGCTGCAGGAGCTGATGGCTTTGGTGCTGCTACCGATGGTTTCTTCTCTTCTGGAGGAAATAATTTAAAAAACAAGACGCCAAGATCACAAACAAGACAACAGCACCTCAGTGATGCAGACAGATCAAACCCTTTCAGAAGTCAACAGACAGCAACAAGAGGATGGTTCTTCACCCCCACACAAAACCAAGAGAAGAAGCTACCTGCAGGAGGAGGTGAAGGCTTTGGTACTGCTGGCGCAGACGGTTTCTTCTCCTCTGGACGAGATACTTTGGAAATACAAGACGTCCAGGTCATCACCAAGAGAACAACAGGCTCACACAGAATGAGGAACAAGACAGATCTGAAGAAAGGTTGTGTGACAGAGGCAACACAAACAGACACAAGAAAAAAACAGTAGGACAAGACACGCAACATGCATCCCGAGGAGACTACCTGTCGGGGGGGGAGGAGGTGCTGCTTTAGGCTTTGGGGCTGGATCAGGTTTCTCCTCTGAAAATAAAAAAGATGCCACGATCACAACCAAGACAACAGTGCCTCTCAGAAAGGCTGACCGACACAAGAGCTTTCAAACGTGGACAAAAGAGTGAATGAAAGAGTCGGCTTTGAAAGATGTTAAGAGGCGAAGACAGGCGAAGGACATATTACACACAACACGGATGGACAGCTCACAGTTTAGTGTAAGAAAGAGGAAAAGGTCAATTAAGAGATCGATCTGTGGCGATCGTGAGAAGACTTTTGGTTTACTGTTGATGTTTTTCTCCTCTTCATGGTGCCGTTTGCATTGAAGGAGTTTTAGACCCTCAGTACATTCCTCTTCAGCATCTAGATGTTCTCCCTAATCTTTGTAAGCTGCATAAACACGTCATCAAGCGTTCTGCTTTCCCTTTGAGTTTCCACGCTATATCTCTGAACTTTCACTACTTACAGTCTTAAACTATGGGTTATTGACCTAAGATATCTTGAGCCAAGAGATGTACGATAGACACACAAAACGATCAAGACACAGAAACACACAATGACACAGATCGGTAAACTAGTGTTGGACTCCTACTTCATCACAATTCTTCAAACTGCCTGTGAAGAACTGTTGAAAGCTTTTATCTCAGGGTACCTAGCAGAGTGTTAGTTTTAGTTAGGAGGGGTTACACTGATAGTTTGATGGTTGACATGACATGAAGACAACATTCAGTGAGATCAAGTGTTAGCCAAGGGAGACAAGATGGGTTTTTAAGAGTTAGCCCTTCTTGGGCTTCTGAGAACCATCAAGAATGTGTAAGAGGTCAGTGAAGAGGGTTAGTGAAAGACTTCCAAACGTGCCATGTGGATATATCTACCTTCTCTCTGGGGTGTTTTAGCCTGAGGGATTTCTTCTGGTCTTTCCAAGACTTGAATTGGAGTCTTCTTTGGTTCCTGCTTCCCCTTTTCTTTAACTTCAGCAACCTGCATTGGAATTTCCGGAGCAACCTTCTTTTGTTCTTCGAGAACCTTTTTAGGGGTTTCTGAAATTTTCTTTTGTTCTTCTAGAACCTTTTTAGGGGTTTCTGGAACCTTCTTTTGTTCTTCTAGAACCTTTTTAGGGGCTTCTGGAACCTTCTTTTGTTCTTCTACAACCTTTTTAGGAGCTTCTGGAATTTTCCTTTGCTCTTCTGGAACCTTTTTAGGGGCTTCTGGAACCTTCTTTAGTTCTTCTACAACCTTTTTAGGAGCTTCTGGAATTTTCCTTTGCTCTTCTGGAACTTTTCTAAGGGCTTCTGGAACCTTCTTTTGTTCATCCGGAACCTTTTTAGGGGCTTCTGGAACCTTCTTTTGTTCATCCGGAACCTTTTTAGGGGCTTCTGGAATTTTCTTTTGCTCTTCTGGAACCTTTTTAGGGGCTTCTGGAATTTTCTTTTGCTCCTCCAGAACCTTTTTAGGGGCTTCTGGAATTTTCTTTTGCTCCTCCGGAACCTTTTTAGGGGTTTCTGGAATTTTCTTTGGTTCTTCTGGAACCTTTTTAGGGACTTCTGAAACTTTCTTTGGTTCTTCTGGAACCTTTTTAGGGACTTCTGAAATTTTCTTCTGTTCTTCTAGAACCTTTTTAGGGGCTTCTGGAATTTTCCTTTGCTCTTCTGGAACCTTTTTCGGGGCTTCTGGAACCTTCTTTTGTTCATCAGGAACCTTTTTAGGTGCTTCTGGAATTTTCTTTTGCTCCTCCGGAACCTTTTTAGGGGCTTCTGGAACTTTCTTTGGTTCTTCTAGAACCTTTTTAGGGACTTCTGGAATTTTCTTTTTTTCTTCTGGAACCCTCGTAGGTGCTTCTGGAACTTTCTTTGGTTCTTCGAGAACCCTTTTAGGGGCTTCTGGAACTTTCTTTGGTTCTTCTAGAACCTTTGTTGTGTCTTGTGGAACTTTCCTTGGTTTTTCTGTAACCTGATCTTCTGGTTCTGTTTTGGAGGCCTCTCTTGGAGCTTCTGGTTCATGTCTGGGTGTCAGATGTGGTTTCCTGGGAGGTTCAGCTGTCTTGGGTTCTGGGACAACTTAGAAGAACATTTTTTCATAAGGTCTTATATCAAAAAGTAGAAGTCACACTCTAACGAGTGCTTTGCATGATTAAAGATTTTCAAAGAGGATGTTCCAAAGAGATTATCGTAAGTGAAATAAGGCTTCAAAAGAGACAGTACAGAACATAAAAACCAGAACACACTAAGCGAAGAACATCAAACCAAAGCTACCTGTGACGGTAGCATTTGCAATACCTTTAGCTCGGGCAGCTTCAGGCTTGGGAGAAGCAGCTTTAGGTGCAGCAGGTTTGTGTTCCACAGGTTCCTCTGGTCTGGGTACATCCGGCACTTCAGAGAACATCAAATATTGTTCAGGAAACAGGGCTGACATGGAGTCAAAGATCACACTCTACACGAGTGACTTCAAAGAAAGACAAGAGCAAAAGATCTGAGAAACCGATGGTACCTTCGGCTGGAGCCACTGCGGCTGGTCCAACCACAGGTTCCTCTGACTTTGGGAGTTCTGGTGCTTCAAAGAACATTCAAACACAGTGAACATACAATGAGAACACAGCAGCTTCAGTCCACTCAGAAGAGTGCTTCAACACAAACACATCATGAGAAGGACATAAGAGCACATAAAGCCATCAGAGCAGCTCTCATCAGGATTCCTGAGTCTCACAACAATGGAGGATTTAGCAGAAATGCACTGAGGGCCTCTGTTTTCATAAAGAGACCTCCCAAACACAGAAAAAACCTATGAGTGATCAACACTGGAGGCAAGAGGTTAGCAGAAAAGAAATTCACCAATATTTATCAAGTGAATCGTAAAGATGTGGACCAAAAGGACAAAGCGCCTTGACTCTACTTTACCTCTGGGCTTAGGTGTTTTCTGGACTGGTTGAACTTCAGGCTCCGGTTTGGGCCCTTTGGGGGCAGCTTCTGCTGGCCTTTGGGGTGCGCCTTTAGAGTCTGGGGGAACTGGTTTCAGTTCTGGTGTCTTGGGTTTTGGTTTGGTGATTACTGAGGGCTCTTCGAAGTTAACAGAGAAACATTACTGTCACTTGGCTCAAAGGATGCATGAACTTTAAAGAGTGAGAACAGAAAATGAAACAGGACAGTAGAAGAACACAAAGTTCTGAGGACGCAAAGAACGCTGAAAACAGCTCAGACGACATTCAGTTATTCAGGAAACAGAGACAAGAGCATCAAGCTCAAAGAGACAAACGTTTGATAAGAGGCTGTGCTCCTCACTCATATTCTAATGTCACCATAACAAGACAATACAGACCCTCTGGGTCTCAGATTAATTGGAATCGTTTTAAAATGTTCTGAAATTCTGTGTATTCTTTCTTGAGAGTTTTACATTTTAGAAGCTGTTGCTTTACATTAAAATCAGAATGAATAAATAGACCTATATGAGATTTTTCTTTTTTAATCCAGAGGTAAAAGGAATTCCCTGATGTTCTGTGTAGCCCTCCTACAGATGTTCTCCGTTAGGAGTGAAGAAGGGGAGCCAGAGGGTTAGTGTACCTGCTGGAGCTGGGACCTCCTGCCTCTGGCGGGGAGCAGTGGCCTCGGGCTGGGGCTTCTTCGGTTCAGGCGCTTTAAGATATCACCATGAGTTTTAGTTTCTGAGTACTGAACACCCACCAGAAGATATGTCATCATCAGATGTTTCACACAGAGCAACAACAGGACAACACAACGACACCCACGAACACAACAGGAAGTACAGAGAGAAGAAGAGGTGAGAAGAGGGCCAGATACCTGGGGCGGCCGGTGGAGGCGGAGCTTTGCGCTCAGAGGGTTTCTCCTCTGGTCGGCTGTAAACCTCAGGAGCTTGAAATATCAAGAAAAATGATATTAAGCTAAGAGAGGCGAACTCTAGCATCTGTTCTATAGACTGCCGTCTACTGTAAGAAAGCTCCTGGAGGTTAATAAGAAGGAGGCGTGAGAAGAAGGTCCACGGCACCAACATGCTGAGCCGTGGAACTACGAGCTACGGGCCTCTAGAAGCAGTGAGAGGTTCACACAGCGGTTAGCTGCTTCTACTCAGCCACAAGCTCTGTGAGCAGCCTGTCCAAAAGCTGAAGTACCTGCAGGGACGTCTCCTCTGAGCCCCGTCTGGGTCCGCTCTACAATCTCCTCTACTGCTTTTTTCACCTCTGCTGAAGGAGAGAAGGGAGCTTAGAGAGCAAACGGCACACATAACAGTAGCTGAGCACAGACTGATGGCATTCATCAGCCCAGAGGAGGCAAAGACACACAGATAGACACACAGACAGACAGAAAAGTAACCCACAGACAGACAGACAGCAAAGTGACCCACAGACAGACAGACAGCAAAGTGACCCACAGACAGACACACAGGCAGAAAAGGCAGACAGACACACATACAGATAGCAAAGTGACCCACAGACAGACAGACAGGCGAACAGACGGAAAGGCGAACAGACAGAAAGACAGGCAGAAAGGCGGACGCCTGAAGGCTGCTGATACCTGAGGCAGCAGAGAACTGAACGGAAACGGTCTCCTCTTCCAGCGTCACGCTTTGAAACTCTACAGCAGATCATTAAAGGACAGTCAGCTTAAGAGGTTCGGGTTTTCAGCGCTGCCCTCTGAGCAGCTCAGGATTATTCTCCCAGTCACAAGAAAACAAACCGGGTCTTAATGACAGTTCACGGCAGACTGTGAGCTCAAACCGTGTGAGAGACGAAGGTTTTAGCTGGACAGAGCCCACCCCCTGACCCTATCACACCGTGAGTTACAGAGCTCCTTAGAGCTCTTTGGGTTATGGACGCGTTAATATTCACTGGGTTCACACCGTTATTCAGGATGAAGTTACAGGATGAGCATGGTGACTGTTAACGGATGGAAGTGGGGGGTTAAATGCAGAATGAAGAGGTTAACTTTGGGGAAGAAGTACCTCTGACTTCAGTTCGCTCCTCGTAGTGATAAAACTGTGAGGAATCTTAAACCAGAGAGAGAGAGAAGCTGAGTGAGCAGCCTGAGGCCTGAGGGCCTGAGGGGCGGGGCCTGAGGGGCTGGATCTGCCCAGACTCACCTCGGCTCACCACCATGGAGGCGGCCTCTGGGACGGGCACCGGGCTGTCCGGGACGTCTGGGGATTGGGCCACAAATATCAGAGCTGAGCTCTCTCTGGGAGCCAGTGAGCCCACACACCCTATCAGAGCCTCAAAGCCCCCTCCTGCCCTCACATACTCACCCTGAGGAGCCCTTCCTAACCCAACCTCTGTAAAGAACAGGCAGACAGACGTTAGCAGCTGCCGCCCGCTGACCGCTGCCCCCTGCTGTCAGGCCGAAGCTACGCACCTTTGCCCGACAGGTAAAGCTGGGCGGTGCTCCGGGCTTCTCCCATGGGCTCCAGACGGGCGATCACCGAGTAAACGCCTGGCGGGTGGACACACGACAGAGCTGTTCAGCTC